ATGAGTTTCCATTTGGCTTAATACATATATACAGGTAAAAGACCAGTTTCAGTCATCAAAGAGATGATGGTACAGGTAGGAGGAAATGTAGCCACTATACAAGGGTTGCAATCTAGCTCTTTCTTGAAGAAGGATTTTATTCTATCCTTCACGTACAATAATGACATTGATATTCAATATAATTTGATTAGATTTTATGAAGAATCTCTATCCAGGAAGATGATACCATATGAGTTTGAGGAAGAGGAGGTAAAGCTCTCTTCATTATTTAGTCTTGTGTCAGTATTACTTTTATCTTTGTCTCTCCAATTTCACATGGCCTTCTTCCCCGTGTCTCCTCTGTCTTCTCATGGGGTTCTCCTCACTGTATGACTGACTACATCTCTCCTAGTTTTTTCTTCTAAGCACCCCGCCATTGGATTAGGGTCCACTCCAATCCAGTGAAGCCTTATCTTAACTAATTACATCTGTAATGATGACCCATTTCCTAATAAGGTTACATTCTGAGGTTCCAAGTGAAGTTGAAGTTTTGTGAAACACTATTCAATCCAGTACATGTTGTAACAGAAAAGACACTGCTTCAGGAGTCAAGAGATGCATGTTTCAATCTTACTCCTGACAATAGTAGAATCATACATGTATCAGAAACTCTGAAGTTTTGCTGGCATAGGATGCTGTTGGAATTATAACTTTAAATCCTATAACTTTAGACTAAAAATTTACATTTTTCATACTTAGAGAATAAGCCTCAACCAGAAGATGTAACCAATTCCTAGGCTTGCCTTTCAGTTTTCTATTTATTTGACAGTATGAGCTTCCTAAGTATTCATCTTCTTAACCAATAACTTTTTAAATGGAAATTAAATAAATTCCACACCCTCTGGTGATTTGAAATCAAGCCAGAGATTCTATACTGGTCTGTCAAAGGATTAACCTTCCCACCATAATGCTTAAAACAGTGATTGGGAGGTTCCTCTAACTGACCACTAGTTGTAAATTGCAAGATGGTGAGACATAGGTTTTATCTCAGTAGACTTTCATAGCAGTGAGTTTTCCTTGAGTTAACCATAATAAGTAGATAATGTGCTGTGAACAACATTAAAGTTAATGTTAAACTTACTTGATCAATAATAAAATATTCAACTACATTTTAATATCCGTATTTTAAACTAAACCAATAACTAAAATGTGACAATTGAAGGAATTTACTTATATTTTCCTTGACTTGATGTTACCATTAATTGTTATCTAACTTTTTAAATGGTGTAAAAAAATGAATTTCTAATGAAATATCAAATGAATTACTGCTATTTGATATATTAGCAACAATAAGATGAAGGAAAAACAATAATAGAATTAAGTGACAGAGGGAAATGAATATTAGAAAAACATTTATGTCAAATTCAGGAAATAATAATTAAAAATGGTAATATCTGTCTACTTAGAATAAAACAAAACTATGAATTTTTATAGCTAGAAAAATTATTTAAAATATTATGAAGCAGCAAAAATAGTACACTTTAGTCTTTATTTATGTCGTTAATAAGGATTATTTTCTTATGTTGTGTCTTATGCAGTGGCAACTTAAATTTGGTGGTAAAATCTTTAAAATGAATATTTCAAGCTATATGTAAAAGATGTATGTAAAAAAAAAAGATGTATGTACACATATATTCCCATTTAAAGGAGAGACTGTTAAAGTTTTACAATAAACTTATTCCATTATATGGTCTAAATTACACTTTCAATATTAATTTCTACGACTTTTTCTGTGTTCATTGTCAATCAAGTTGACATACGAAACATGGCACTTCATACCATATTGTGTGCCTTTGTTTATATGGTCTCCCCTGGTCAGAATACATTTCTCTCTGTTTCTTATTTTCTAATTTATACTCCTACCTAATATTCTAGGTCCATTTGAAAAACAAGCTTTTACAGACTTGATGACAGTCATTTTCTAGGCTTTGCACATTGTCTAGGTGTCCCATGTGTGGTAAGATTTTTGATGCACATCCATTTTGTTCTCCTCACTACAATTATACAGGACCAACTATTAGGTGTTCAATAAGTCTGTGTAGAATGAATGATTGAATAAACTTAAAATAAAGGTATTGTACAAAAAGTAAACAGGCCAAAGAGTTTTGGTGCTTCTCATTACTTGGTCTTCTCAGACAACAAGGAATTAGCTAAGGTATAAGGAAACTAGTGTGAATTGGTATTTTTTATTCTTCAGTGAATAAAAGATAATGAAAATAAAATAGTTTCCAGAAGCTAGATTGCAAATAACACAGGAATATTAGGCAAGATATCATTCAAAGGAGACTTGATGGAGAAAATAAGAAAAAAGAGCTAAGGGACCTTTAGAACTCCAACGTATATAAAGAAAAAAAAGACAATATACTCTATGCATCAGTGTGATAGATTCAGTAATATCTGATACTGTCTTCTAATGCCCAGTTTATTTATAGCAATAACTACAAACAACATTTCTTGTTTCCAAAAGATGTAGTATAATTTATAAAGGTACAAAATTATAAGAATATAATCTAAATTAGGTGCAAGAATAAAAGAAGAAAAAAGAAAATCTGCTGTAGTGATATTAAAAGAAGCTATTGTCAGAACTGTCTGAAAAAGAAATCAAATTATAAAAGGTTATAGCCTTCCTATCAGCCAGATTTCAATTTGACTCTAAGTTTTCTAGAGGCCAAATAAAAAGAGAAATCTGATCAATTTCATAATTTACAATATCCATGATAAAAGCAAACCAATTTACTCAGAAGTGCAATTATTCCTGCTACTAAAACCTAAAAGAAATTTCTCCCAAGGGTCATCATAAAGAGGACACTGTAAAATATAATGAAATATGCCTTGAACAATATCTTTATGATAGACACTGTTGACAGTTTTATAGAGCTGCTTTTTTATGGTACCCCTCGCTATATACTGATGGTCTAGCTATATAATTCTGTGTGTAGTTTAATAGATGCATAGATTTTTGAATAACTGGAAAAATAGATGGGAAAAAGTGCTTTAAAGATTCTTCAAAAACTTCTTTATCTTATTGTAGCTCTTTAGAGAAATTTGGCGGCACTAAATCTCAGGGCACACAGTTCCTTCATTAAGTAAATAGGTATTGGAAATCTATAATTGACACAGCACTGTATTAGACACAGAGGAAACACAGGGGGCGAAAAAAAACTTCATGAAATCAGCTATTATGTGATGTCATTTAAAGGTAAAGAAAATAACCAATGACGTAAAAGTAAAGTTGACGGCTTTTGTGAAAGCTGAAGACACTTCAAGCCTTGGATTCATTTCTAAGGATACACTCATAACATAGGTCAAGTTTCTCTTCAGAAAACAGGTTTGAATCTGCTCTGACATACAGATTAACGGGCACTTGCCGACTCTTCTGCTATGTTTTAGCATAGTCACAATGCCCTTTGGGGAAGAGATCTAGTCCCACTCTACTTCAGGCTTACCCTAAAATAACCATCCTATTGAGATTTCTGCCACAACTGTGGCTTTAAAGCTACCATCTGAGAAGCATTAGTTATATATTCCTTGGAGTTGTCTCAGGAGACATAGAGGAAGGTGGAACACAAGTGAAGGCCAGCAGTCAAACCTCTGTCTTCTCTAACCATTTATCAGACACAGAAGACTTTGTGATGAAATGTAAGAAGATTTTTGACAAGTAGTTTTTTAAAAGTGTTTGAAAATCACTGCACTGCTCTGTAATATTTCCAAAATCTATTCTTCTCTACAAAGATCAATATATCCATTCAACAAATAAGTACTGTTCACCTGCTATCTCCAGAATCTAGATATGAAAGGTTAAATGTCAAAGTCTTTGTTTCAAGGAGCTTAAAGCTTGTGATAAGATTCCTAAGTGCACCAAAGATTAGGTAGCAGTTTGGTAACTGCTGTGCCATAGATGTAAACAGCAGGCACTGTGCATACATAGAAGGTGAGGCAGCCATATCAAATGGGAGTGAATAAAGAGCACCGGATATATATATATATATATGTATGTATATATATATATATATATACATATATATATATATCCTATCCATATTTAATTTTTGAATTGAATCTTGAAAAATGACACAAATTATGAAAACAAGGTGGCTAATAGTCATTTTAAACACTGGAGTGAGGATTAGGCAAAATTAAGGAAGAGTAGTTTTGTGGCTGGTGTGCCAATAAGTTTGGAGATGAAGTGTTAGAATCAGGAAGAGGTCAGATCGTGAAGAACCAGTGTGTTTAACCAAAAGATTTGAACAAACAAACAAACAAAAAGCAAGATGAAACAAAAACTTTAGGGTAGTGCCATGAGCACATTGAAGTTTAGAAATATCTTCTAGTATCAGTACAGAAGGTCCACTAAAGAAGCTAAGGGTAGAATCAGGCAGAGTAACTAGGCGGGTATGGCAGCAATCTGCAAGAAAACAAATGGGACTCTGAATTAAGCCAGAAAAACTGTCATGTGAGGAAGGAGGTTTGAGAGATAATAAAAAGGTGAAACATATGGGATTTTGTGATACCTATGGTCTACCATTTCTCTTTTTCCCTTTCTGAATGAACAATGATGCATCTTACAGTGTTACTTCTGTGTAATTTTATTCCCACTTTCTTGCTGTCAAGTTTTTTTCAAAGTTGAAATTCTATTCTTTTAATATTCACCAAATTTTATCTAGCAGTCCTCTTGAAACTTGAACGTTTAATCACTTTATATTCTGCCTGCAAAACAACGCTCAACATTATAATCCTCCAGTTATTACAAGATCTGTGCTGTCTTGGATACATTTACACTTCAATTACAATTACAATGCTTTCATCTTAACAGCTTTTAGTTTCTGAAGGATTTAAGTCTCAAGGATTATGGTATAATGAGAACAAAGGTTGTTGATTACTTTTTTCATTTCTTTCTGAGGTGCTGTGCTAGCTAAATAAAACCAAGGTCGAATTTATGCCAAGCTCTTTTCTCCCTGTAGGAAAACATAATGGAAGTTATGAGAAATCAAGAGTTTTTACTGCTTCCAGCTGAGGAGCTCCATAAACTCCTGGCCAGTGATGATGTCAATGTCCCTGATGAAGAAACCATCTTCCATGCATTAATGATGTGGGTCAAATATGACATGCAGAGGAGATGCAATGACTTGAGTATGCTTCTGGCCTTTATAAGACTGCCATTGCTTCCACCTCAGGTAATTACATGGGATGCTGTTTTCGTACCTACGATTGACTGAAAAATTCTGTGTTAAAATTAAACATTACAACTCATGTTTTATTACTTATTCACATTTTTGTTTGTTTGTTTTAATCAAACACTCTTTTTAAGGTAAATTTGCTGGTGGAAATGCTGAGTCATGGGTCATGGGTCTGAATTCCATTTCCACCACTTACTGAGTCATGGTTATATGACTATAAGAATGTCAATTTCTCTGAAATTAAATTTCTTCATCTATCAAATCAAATTGTACTACCACGCAAAATTTTATGAGGATCAAATTAGATAATATATATAAAATACTTAATCTTAATAGAATATTTAAAAGATTTTTAGAACATTGCAATTATTAATTTTCTGCTTCCCTGTTTTGATGATTGATCTAACTATCTACATATCTATCTATCTACCTAATTAACTAGCTAGCTAGTCAGCTAGTTATTTATCAAGCTATCATCTATCTGACCTAAGATACAATAATATGATCATTCTCTGATGAATATACATATTCTGTGGCCATCCCTACGGTATTCTTAAAAGCTCAAAGCATGGGATTTCAAATGTCTATAGAAGGATAAGATATATTACTGAATAGTACAGAGTTATGAATTAATACCATTTAGCAATTGGAATTATGGGACCTTTGATAATTGGAGCTAAGGAGAATACACACACCAAGTGAAAAAAATCACCTCATTTTATTGATGAGGTATGTAGGACACAGGTGATTTGATAAAACACCAAGTTTTCAACTTAGAAGAAGAAGAGTAATTAATTTTCCCTGATTCAGAGTCTTGTGTCTTTAAAATAACTTGTAATGTTGCAAAATTATCCATGCACAACATTGTTAACCCAGGGCATCTGGCGTCTCAAGGTATCCAAACACAAGCTTGAAGGTGGCTCTGACCTCTGTAGTGATAGATAAAATTGTGTATGTGTACATTTCTTATGAGGGATATTAAGAGCCTGTTCATTTGAATTAAAATCACTATCAACATTTTCAATAATCCACATATTACTAAGAATGTAAGATAGGGAATTAGGAAATCGGGAAACAACAATAGGCAAGTATAACGTTAGTAACAAGAGAAGAGAGAGGGAGCTGGGTCATATATTAAGATTGGAAAGTTAAAAAAAAAAAAACTTTGCCAAAATTGGGAAACAAATGAAGTTTTATGAATAAATTAAGAATTGTGTTTCATATGGCTACTAGAATAAATAAAGAAGTAGAAGTAAAAAAATTATGGAAATCCTGCCTAAACAAATTATATTCAATAAAAGTTTATCCTAACACCAGGCTCTTATAAAAGGAAGGGAAACATCTATTTTGGTAATGGGACAAAGAATGAATTGGAAAGCCATGCACTGGATTTTTCTGAATCTTCCAACATAGGTTCTGACACCACATATTCTCAGAGCTTGGTCATCCTCTCTCAAGACCGAAATAGCTAATGATCACTATTAGTCAATAATAGGTAGATAGCCATTAACCAATGATAGATGATGTAGCAATTGGTCCCTTTGATCCTGCCCACCCATTTCACCTCTCTTCTGAAATGTTGGGAGTTTGGAGTTAAACTGGTACTGAAAAATCATCATATATAATAGGACACATACCAGAGGAGGCCAAGAATATGGCCAGGGCTCCAGTTTTTTCATGATATGCCTTTTCTTCATACCCTCCTTGCCCACTCTTTTGTCAACAAAAATGGGAGCTGCTCCTACGTGTGTATCTCATCTAAACTATTACATCAGAATAGAGATGTACATTCTATTGACTCATTTGTTCCTAAGGCTACACATTACACATAGTGTTTTAATTCTGATTGGTAAATGTGCTTTATCTTGATTAGTGAAACAATATTTATTAACATTAGAAAATAAATTATTATTATGTGTTGGTGAAACTAACTAGTAAAAGACTTTTAAGTTTAACTCATCACAGTGTCCAATAGGCATAAACACAGCATATATTTATTTTCCATTTCTCATCTCTTAAGCTGGGTACATTACAAACATAACTTTATATACAATTTCAAGCAACATATGTGCAGGGGGAAAAATAAAGCACATTTTCTTTTCATAAAAATGTCTTTGGATATAGAAGGGGCTATTGTTTCCATAACTAATATTAATGAATTACATGTCATTATAAGCACTTTTCATACAGTATTTCTAATCTTAAAAAATACAATTGCAAGGTAGGAGTTATTAATTATATTATGCAGAGGGATAAACAGCTTCAAAGAAGTTAAGTGATTTTTCAAAGGTCATAGAGCTAGTGAAAAATCCAGTTTTCCTGCAAATCTAGGATAGCCAGATATGAATATACACAGGGATATTACTACTGTGAATGTATGTTGTTTCCTTATTTGCTGTCTAAACTTGAAGATCATTAAAATGTTCTGAATACAGCAATTCTCAAGATTCCTATTAAAAGCCTGAGAAAGGAAGAAGAGTGGCAGAATTGGAATTAACATGCATTTAGTTTTTTCTTCAGTTACCAAACTTATATTTTATCTCACTTAATTTCTATAATATCCTTATGCAGTAAATATCATTATTATTTTGTGACAAATGAGTAAATTGAGAATCGACATGATAATCATTTTTCTAGTGAACTGTAGAGCTCAGACTACTCTAATTGTGTTTGATACTGTGTTTCTTCTCCTACTGATGAGAAATAAGTGCAAAGTTTATTTCTGCAGATGGTTTCCTATTTACCTCAATGTCTAGTCAGAGTTTTTAAAAGTTTAATTAAATCTAGAATTTTCCAGTCTTTGCGTGAATTTTCAAGGCTACTAAACATCTCAAGGTTCTTAAGAAAAGCTGTATGATGACCAGAAAACACTTTTTTCTTGGGTTTGGGAGCCAGTAAATATGGGTTTTGTCCTTAATTCTGACAGTACTTAATGTGTAGTTTTTTTTTTTTTAACTTCCAAGTGATTTCTGTGTATATATTGTGTGTCTTATTACATTACCTATGTAATTATATTACATATTATATACATTATATACATATTTACATATAATATATAATTACAAAATGTTTTTGTTATATAACAAAACAATATTATATTTTAAAATGCTAGCAATATTTAAACGAAGAAGAGCCTACATTTTTCTAGTGTGGTAGGGGTTTATCTTCAAAAAGAAATAGTCCTTGGATTAATTTTTGAAGGAGACTTGAGAAGAATTTGGCTTATCTTTTTTTTTTGGCTTATCTTTTTACAAGGTAATTGCTATAGATGTGAATGATATGTTTCAGGTGAGTGTCAGAACAATATTTGGAAGACCAGGTATGAACTGTTTATGTGTATTGTTAGGCAAAACATAGCAAATTACTGACCAAGGAGAGAGTGGAAAGGCAAAAAAATTTAGAGATGTTTAAAACAAACAAACAAAAAAAGGAGAAAATGAAAGCTTCTAGGATTAAATTAAACTAAATAACTTACACGTTTTATACAGCTAGGAGTTTCTGTTTCTATTTAGTGAGTGCGTGAAAAAATTTCTAGAGTAAAAAAAGTGAAAATAAAGACAATGACAGAAACTTTAGCAACAAAGAAAACATGTTAAAGGATTGATTAGAGCCAAAGAATAAATGTAGATTATAGTGAGAGTCTGCTCTTATAATCATGAGGCAACTAACCCACTTCAATTAAGCAGATTTCCATTCCTTCATGTCCCACAATCTGCATTCTCATGTTTTTTGTTACTAAGCCCATTATGTTATAGAAGTTATTTCTTAAGTTCTGATATTCTTTATTATTCAAAAATCAATGTATGTTATTATGAAGTATAAATTATGTTAATTTGGTATAGAAAAACAAAGTGAAGTTGTAAATTTTAGTAGAGAATATGGATTTTATTTGAGAACACTAGTAGACAAAATGAGCTTCAGAAAAGAATGAAAGAAAAGACATTTTAAAAACTCAGAAGCAATAATGCCTATTTTATTTTCTATTGAAATAGAATAGCTAACACTGAAATAAATTCAATTAATTTTACAATAGAAAGAACCAGAGGAAAAGGAAAAATCAAAGAAATACATAATTGAGATATACTCTAAGAAGTGGAGAATGATTTCTATTATCTTTTTAAATAAGTAAGGAACAGAATTTTGCATAATAGTTTTCATGATTTTCTTGGATACCAAGGGGGTGTATAATTTCAAAAGAATTGGAAAAAATATGGAAATTTCATTTAAAAGAATGGGTGATTATGTATACAAATATACATATCACAAGGAGGCTACTCAATTTGATTCACTTATTTTTCTATATTTCCTTCTTCAAAGATGCAACAAAAGAACATGTCGCTATGCAATAAACAACACATTTTAACATTTTGTAACTATTGTTTCCACTGGTTTTAACTCATTTCATAAAATGGATCTTTGTAATAGGTACATATATATTTATTTGTTATATACATATTTTAAAAGTATCCATAAGTATCCATTTTGTTGTGCATTTTTCTAATGAGTGATTTAGAGAGTAGAAGCATGGTGCTCTCAAAAAGTACAGTTCCATGTATGATCAAGTCAAAAGTATTCTGGGAAATTCAGTTTTATCACAGTCAGAAATTATTTAAAAGGTTGGAGATATACAGATAAACTTTGCTTCATGTCTTAGAACTGGTGTTCTAAGACATGAAGAGACAACAAGGAGAACCCTTTCTCACAACTTTCTAATAAGTATACCTACTGACCCTTAAGATAAATAAAGAGTAGAGTCTGTTTATGTGTATAAACATTTACTTTTATTTTCTGTAGCAAAATGTGAAAGGAAAAAATAAGTTGTAATAGATAATAAAATATTGCCTAGGTTTAGAGGAATATTATTTATAATCAAATAATAAAAAAAATTAAAAAAATAACAAGGAGACTAAAGAGTTTAAATTAAGGAAACAGATGTTACCTCTATCTTACAGGAATTAATTATTTTTATGCAAATCTGTAATAAATGTATTCCAAAA